ACTACAAGAACTGGAACGAATTCCTGGTCATATTCAGACACAGAGAAAGTTAAATGTAAGATTGCTGCTGTGATTTGGACAGGGAAGCAGAAGCTGAAGCAGATATTTCACTCTTAATTCACTGCCATTCAGGGGTGCTGTTGACAGGAGATGGAGCCTGGCTCAACGGAAGAGACACGAGGCTAGGAATTTAGTAGGGCTGGATCCTATTCCTCCTTCCGCCACTGCTCCGCTGTCTAATCCTGGGCGAGTACATCCCCTCCGGGCATTTGGTTCCCCTCCCTCCTTGATACATCTATTTAAACTGCAAATTTAGAGGAGTAGCGACCATCTTGGTAGTGACAAAGCACATACAACAGTCTGCACTAATATTTCTATTAATAAATATTCCCACTGCTACTAAGTAATAAAACAAAAACCATTAACAGTTTTGTGAATTGAACGGTCAATGATGCGTTATATTAGTTTTGAAGCATTTGGGTATAAAATGTAAAAAGGCAAACTCTCCCAAGTGGTAGCAGGCCAGAGGACACCTATGTTGTTTTCCTGAATATTTGGGTAACCCAATTAGAGGTAATTGAGTTTTTAACTACATGAAATTACTTCAAGAATACCATCACTAGAGGCTAAGTCTCCTGGGAGGCTGGGGGAAGGGAGCAAAGAAACATTTTAAAACTGCAAGGAACAGAAAAAGAACAGGGCATGTAGCTTGAAACATCCTGAAGAGAGTGTGCAGCTGAACCAGTCTCAGGCATTCATATTTTTCACAAACGTGTAAATGGATGGGCCACAGACTCAGAGGTTTGCATGTTCCCAGTTCAATGAATTACAGAGGAGTTAAATACGTCCACACTTCTATGCATTTTTAACCACAATAGTAATGTAAAGCACAGATCTACAAGCACCAAAAGGCTCCTACAGTCCTGTGAACACCACAGACATAAAAAGAAAACTAAATTACTGTAATGAAATTAATTCCTGCTGCATTTGCAAATTACCATTTGTGTGCAATGCATATGAGCACATCTTTTAGACATTAAAATTAGCTTCACATTAAAGTCACCTCCCAACCAGAAACGGTCACTATATTCACCAAGAAACAGAATGGTTCTATTGCCAGTTCTTAGATTGGTTTTGCACACCCTGATAAGCCCTAGAAATGTTAGAAATTACATTAATTTCTGACAATCTTTGCTCTTTGATGGCTACTAAAATCTAAAGTACAAGCATTGATGGGAAAGAGTATTTTTAGCACTACTGCAACAATTAAGATTGCTACAGTTTCTTTGGTAGCTTTACACTGATTTGAGATTAGATTTAATAATACTATTTTAAATATTCAGATATGCTGAAAGCATATTTCTTAATATGATGAGCATGATAAGCAGAAAACTCTGAAGCACTTTCTCCCCCCCACTTACAGTGGTAAATCAAACTGATTGATTAGGAAGGCATGCTTTGTGCACAGAAGATGTAAGTTACTGAAATAAAATTTAAAAGTTAAGGAGCAGACTGCAAAGAAAAAGCAGCTTCCACTCGAAAGGAGCAAAAAACCCCAATTTAACAAAAGGCAAAGTAAAGGAGACCCTATCCCCAGGAGCTAATTGTCTGTCTTGTGCTATAGGGGATGCTCTTGCTTAGCTTACAAATGAAAGACACTCCCTCCTCTCCCTGCAAGCACAGGAACTCCACAGCACTAACATGACATCTTAAATGAGCCAACTTCCTTGAGCATTGCCCAGGAGACTAGAATGGGCATGCCTCTTCATTCAGAAACTGAGAAACATGTCCGATTATCAGCCAGGCTGAAGAACATCTCTGACCAAGACCATCCCAGGAAAAACACTCATGTTCAAGCTGAAAAATAACAAGCGGATTGACACAGCTGGCATATTTTTATAGCCTTTGTGTAAACACAAGCTCTGAATTAGCCAGCATCTCAACTAGCTCTATCTGGATTCCCTTCTTTTGAAACAAAATTAAGGAAAACACCCACCAGAAAAGGTCAATGGCCAAATTATTAAGAAAAAAATAAAAGCACAAGGGAAGAACATACACAGTGATTCATTAAAGTTGTGCTGCTGAAACTCTAACAGTGAGCACAAAACAGACTTTTCACCAAAACTGTACTTAATTTGCAGAACCTGTTGGGTCAAACAGAACATTAATTAGAATTGTATTTTTTTAATAAATTCTCAGTATTCCCCTAGAGCTGTCCTCACCTACAGAGGTGGTGTGAACTCCATGGCTTGGCTTACAGAGGAACAAAACTAAAGCAACTATAAAGAACGCTGCCCTCGAAGGGCAGCACAACAAAATTCCACCTATTTCAAGCGTATGCCTCTGTAAAACAAATGGACTGAGCATCTTGGGTTTTTAGAAACACTCAACCTGGAAAATAGGCATGTCAAAGTGAGTGCCCAGGTGGGAATCCACCTTATGCTGTCAGTAGAATACACTGTCATGGATCATCAACCACACCAAATCATGTACAATGAGCAGTATTGCTTTTTACAAAACTAACTCTGTTCCCAATCAAACAATCTGCATTTGACTACAGTAACTTTCCAAGACGCATCCCAGTCCTAATCTGAAAACATCAAGAATTAAGGCAAATTAACCAGCGGAACATTCTAAACTTTAGGTCTTATTTGTTCCTTCAGTTCCTATTTAGACCCTATTTGTTTAACTAAGGTTAGTGGTTCTTGCCACATTTACTGTTGCACTGTTCAGATTTGGCATGTTCTACGTTAAGGAGGTACTTACTGTAAATTGAGTCATACCTTAACCTCCTCTTAAACTAGAAGCAGAACGCAGTACAGAGCATATCTTTCTGCCTTTGAATGGACCTTTGTGGCTTCTCTTTGCATTCTTTCTGGTTTTTGCATTCAAAATGCAGCCAGCAGAACTCTTCAGTCCAGCAGTCTTCCCAATACTGCATTCAGAAGGAAAAGTCCTTTCCTATTTATTGCTGTACTATTCACATAGCCAAGGCCCCCCACCACCCCCCCCCAACACATGCTGTGGTTAAGGGTCACATTGCTTTATTTGCTTAGCTAAACTTCCAAATCCTCTTCACAAAGCTAGTTATTTTCTCCTCTATTTATATTTTTGCATTTAGCCATATTAAAACACATTTAATTCAAATGAGGGCAGCGTGTCAAAGAGGCCTATAAGCTGCCAACTTGCATGTCATCCATAGAAATTCAACATCTGCTTCCAAACACTGAACTGTGTCCTAACAGAACACCCATATGAAATATTCCCATGTTGTGGTAACCAATAACTACTTTAGAAATTATTAGTTAGCCATTGAATTAATTTATTGTGCTGAATCTCAATATTGTTATTACTGTGTAATGTAATTTCTATATAATTCTAAAAATCAATGTCATGCAATAACTAAATCAAGCACCCTATAAAGATGGAAACATTCATCTTTCTCAACAAAACCTGTAATTTTATCAGTGTAAAATCTGTCTTGCTTGATGTAATCCATTCTCCATAAATAGTAGTCACCAACTTCAAATATTTCTATCCTTTATTGTTAACTGTACTTATTCCTAATATTTTCTTTTTTCTATTGTTCTTTTTTAATCTAGGACTAAGGTCAGTCAGTGTTTTTTTGTTTCTTTCGGACTAAACAAATTAGTCATCTGCTCACACTTTCTGAACACTGATAAAGTACCAGTTATCTGGAATATCCCTTATTGTTCCAAATGTCATGATGCTAGAGATCTCCTCACCCAAGTCCTTCACCATTCCTGGATGTTTACTTAGGGCTGCAGATTTGGAATGTCCACTACTGCATACTGCACAATATCCACTTGCAAAGGAATTAGAAAGCACTTCCATTGGCCTCATCATGTAGCATAAGCTTATCTTCTTCCTTTTCCCAGAAGGAAGGCCAACAGCTTTAAGAAATTCTGACAATGTATTTTAACAACAAGAAAAATGCAGGCATTCAATTAGAGTATTTTTTAAACAGAACATTTTCCTTCCATCAGCTTTTCTACACAAACAGAAAACATCTCACGAAGCCTATCAACCTCCCCCAAACTCTTAGATTTTAAAAGAAAATGGAGTAAGAGTTTATACTAGAGGAAAACAAGAAAACAATCTGCACAACTTTGCAAAAGCTGACACTACTTTTGGAAAAATAAGCTGCAAATGCTTCTACATTGTGAACTCTTCACGGAATAATGAACACAGCACAGATATACCTGACAAAATTAATTGATAGGAGACTAGTTTGATGCAAAGGTTTTTGCTTTGCTGACTTCTTGGTTTGTTGAGGAGGGTAGAGAATGTTGGTTATTTTCAAGACATCATTTACCATTATGAATTCTAAAATACAAAGTCTAAAAATAGTGCAGAGATCTAACAAAACAAAAAAGGAAAGCAGTAAGGTGTGAAAAAGAACAGTAACTCATGCTCCCATCCCTAAACCACCCCCAACTACATTTCCACACAGAGGCTGATGCATGTTTGTACCATGTAATGATAGAGAACAGGAATGCTGACAGATCTTTAGCTGTTACCTCAGCAGTCACATATTTACAAAACTGCATGCTGCTTCCTAGAGTTCAATAACAATGAAAATAGTGTCCTTAGCCATTCAGCATCATTTTCTAAATTATCCCGCTCATACTCACAGATTATTCCAGTGCTTAAAGTATATCTGAAGATAACAGAGGCTATTCTTGAACTTCCAAAATTTCAACTTCTAGAATCAGTACAATAAGACAAATTCAAGGACACCACAACTTTGCAGGGAAAGAGGCATAACTTGTTTTTTGACAACTGTGCAATGAAAATATTTCATATGTTCCAACAAGCAGAATTATGAAATTCTTTTATTAATTCCTAATTATTTAATTGGAAGATAACAGTCTATTTCATATAATACGCAACTCAGGTCTACATAACCTCTAAATTCCCTAAGAGGTAATCCTCGGTCTTTTCAAAGACATAAAAAAAAAGAAATAAGCTAGTCTTACCATTTTGATGCCAGTAGAAAACGTGACTGGTTTGACAGGTTTGGGTTTTTCCAGTTGCATTTCTAGGTGGGTAGATCTGTCCTTATGCTGAGCTAAAAGCAGTGAAGCAGGAAGACTGGAGCTCTCCTGTAAACATATGAGGAACAAATTTGAATGCTAAACCAAAACAAACATTAATTAACACTGCATATTCTTCAAAACTGCAAGCTGTGCCTGAAAGGCCATCACTAGCAGAGCAGCTTAATGCTAAGCATCCTCTCTATGAGAAACAGTTTACAGAAAACGATCATTTTCAGTAATAAGAAAAAGCTGCAGCAACCTCATAAATCAGAGTAACCTGCAAACAACCATTTTTATAGAATCCACATTAAAGACAATATAACAGGCTCCTTATTCCAACTGGCCAATGCAACTATATTTATTAAAATAAAAAAAAATTAGAACTTAATCAGAGAAGAAATAATACCAAGTAGTATAACTTGGATCAGATGTTTATCTAAGACACATTCTTTCTACCAGTGAACGCAGACCAGTTTGAAATTGTTTCCCATTAGATTTCACCTGAGGCCGTTTGGAAACGATCCTTGCTCTGCTTTGCACAATGGCACTATTGTAAGTGCAACCAACAGCATATTTATTTTCTCCTCCACCAACTTATTTTTAGGGAAGTCAGCCAATTTTTAAAAAAATATATAACAAGTAGTAAAATGAATAGTTAAGCAAATGAACTACTTAAAACTCTCAGAGCAGAATGATTATTAACATACATGTATGTAACTGCATTCTTGAGAGAGTCGGAAAAGTATTGGCCAAGTAATTTTCTAATCAACTAATGTGACTATCCACATGCACACTGAAATCCTTGAGACTTCTTAGCTAGAATGGCCATGAAGTTGAGAGCAAGGAAGAAGTTCAGAGAGATTCTCACCTGATGGCTCTAGAACTGTATTTTATTCCTAAAGCTCTCAAAACATCACATACACTTCTGTTTCAGGGAACCAAGCAAATACTGAACTATGAACAATATTTGTTACTCACCAAACCAAACAAACTTGAATATACTGGACTGCGATTGTTTTTACTTAATCAGTTCAGGGTAAGACATTTGAAGTTTTTAATGCCTCGAGATGCCTTGTTGTTTATGGTATCCTAGAGAAATCTTCTGAAGCGATCATGAAAAACAGTGATGTTGTACGCTGACTTTTACATCACTCTCCAGTCCTCTCTTCCCTCTATTTTTGTTACATTCCCTTTGTCTTACAACTAGATTGAAAGTGCTAAAACCAAAAAAATCTCACATGACGAGATCCAGAGTCACAAAAACAACAACTAAGGCACAAGATGCTACTCACATTTCTGTGATTAACTGGGAGGAGGGAAGGGGAGAGGTTAAAAAAGCCTAAATTGTCATAATAAGACGTCTAATTTCTGTACAACGAGGAGAAAATTAAGACCACAAATGCACTTGTTTACAGTCTGCATCTTCAAAGTATTGTACATGTCCATAACCACCATGCAGCAGCATGTGCTGCTATCCATCAGCAGCTTAAGGATGTTGGATTCTTTTAATCATTAGATATAATACACTGGGGGAGAAGGAAGGAGTGGGAATTGTTCTCTGGTCCATTTTGTCCTTTAATATTTCTTAAACTTTCACTGCATTTCTAATACAGTAACTAAAAGGAAGCCAATTTTTGTATCAACTTCTTGAGAGTTCACACAATGACCGGTAAGTAGATTACACAACTGTGGGAAACCCACAGCACCCTCGGTCATTGTTTGTTCTTTCGAATATGCACATAGCCCTTCTGTTAACTATTAACACGCATGAAAGGTCCAATCCTGTAAGCATTTATCCATACTAGCAATTTTCTGTATGGGAAAACAAACTGTCCAACAGCATGAACAAAGCTAGTCACATGTGAAAATTTCTGAAAGATCTGTCTCCAAAAACCCTGAGGTTCTGGTACAAGTGGGGATGCTTGATGTCTTTAAGGCACCTTGCCCTTTGCTTGACTCCAAGCTCTGCCACAGCAGAAAATCTGCCTCTTAGCCATGTGCTGCAATGCCATTTTGTTCATGCCTGGGAAATACAGCCTCTTGAAGAGGTAAGGGCAAGTCCCACAACACAGAGGACATTTAAGAGCAGATCTATAATCCTCTGTATACAGCTGAGAGAGTTTACACAGTAAATAAGGGAAGTGCTTTAATATTTTACTCGGCCCAAATTATCCAAGTCTAGAAGGTTAAAAAAAACCAAACAAAACACACACATAACTCTTCCAATAATATGTAAAATGCATTTGAGACTACAAGTCTAAATTAGAACAAGGTGGTATACTTTTGAAGTGAGAGGTTTGATTGTAAAAGAGGTCACTTATAATGAAGGTAATATAAAATCTGCCTCATTTAGTGCTGGGAGGCAAAACAGGCAACAGGTAACAGCCTAAGCAAAGCACCGGATTGCTCTTCCAGTAGCCAGCAGAGCCCAAGCCACCCGCGACGCCTTGCTCACCTCTCCAGCGAGTGGCCCTCCCCTCCCCTCCCCGCTCCCAGCCCCGGACGCGTTTGTGGAGCCCTGGCCCCAGGTCCAGTCTATCCTGCACGAGCCGCTGCGCTCCCCAGGCTGACCAGAACTAGAGCCTGCTGCCCTGAATTTTAAATATCAAACATTTCTGTGCCTTTTTCCCTGCCTCTGGATTATCTAAATTATACGGTCTTTGCAGATGAGACAGTATTGTCATACACTTTTGTAAAAAACTGAAACCTTTCCTCAATATGATAATACCATAACTAATACATATAAGAAACTGTGAATCTCCTCAGTCATTAGGATTTAAACATCAAAGGCAAAATTCTCTTTTTGGAAGATGAAAGACCCAACATCTCTACCTGCACCACACAAAAAATTTGTCTTAAATTTTCTCTTGCTGCCCAGTATGGGGGGCATGGAAATCTTGAAAAAAATGACCAAGACCCAGGTCACGCAGGCTGTAGGTTCCCAATGCCAGGTGACACATACAAAAGAGACAATTCAAAACCAACATGTCCAATGTCAGCTTCCCACCTTCCTCTCACCCACAATCCTGCCAAGTCAGTAGTTTTGCCACTGGTATCACTGTAGCCAGAATTTAATCCTTGTTGCCTTAGCACAGGACCAGCAACCATGGATAGAAGAGTTTTATTTTTTTGTAATATAATTCTTTACACTGTTACTGCTTATGCCTGGCTTTCACTGCATTTTTCAATTAAGTTTTACTTATGATCAGTTCCGTTTTCTGATTTGCAGCACAGCATAAGAGGGATTTCAGAGACCATAGGAAATGTTTATTTGTTTAACAACTGCTGGTTTTCCAGAGACTTTGTAAGGCATTACACAAACACTTCAGTGCTGGTTTTATAAACCTTTAGTATTACAAAACAAGTTTTGGCTCATATTTAAGTTGACAGTGCCCCTTCATAAACAGAGACACAATTTAAAATTGCCCAGTTTCTTTCTGCAGCCTTTAAAAAAAAATTACCTTTCCGTTGCTTTTAGAATATTAATATATGTTTTAATAGCAATACATATGCAGTCACAGTTAAAACTACGTATTTTGGTCATGTTTTAAGGATTATTTATAACCATTCCTTCCACAAGCCATCTGGTGAAGTAGGTTTTCAGTAAAACCAACTGCTGTGAAAAAAAAAAAACAAAAAAAAAACAAAACAAGCCAACAACAAACAAACAAACAAACAGGAAAAAACAAAACAAAACAAAAACAACACACAACAAACAACAACACACACACATACAACCACTGGTCTCTAGTAAGTTAAGAGTGTGTTTTAGAACAGGATTGAAATGCCAAAAAACACTTCAAAATCCCTATTCTGTGCCATTAAATTCAAGTTCATAGTGGAGGTTTTTTTAACTGAACCACTACTCAAACTACTTAAACTTCAGTGAAGAGAGACTGCTGGATGCAAAGTTACAGACTTGAGGCATTTTCAAAGAACCTTTCTGCTCATCTCTGTTTTTGCTGACAAAAAATGAAACACCAGTTCCTTTCAGCAAAGCCAATGACAGGTTGCCAGGACCCCCGGCTTAGAAAAAGGCAGCTCTTCAGGAGGCCCTGAAACTCCTAAACTGCACATCGATGCTCCCTCTTCATGTCAGTGCCTTCTGCACTGGTTCAAAGAGGAACTCTTCTTTTCCAGGAAAAGTAGAAAAGCATCTGTATCTTGAATAAGAACTGAGAATACAAAGCAGGAATTAATACTATATTAATGTGAGATAAACTGAAATAAGGGAGAAATTCTGATCTAAATCTTCCAAGCAGCTTTAAACCACATTGACATAGCTGCACCTATGTACGCATGCATACATACTTCTTTTTTCTGATTTCCTTCAAGGTTACACACAGACTGTGCTGAAGGCTGTTGGAGCATGTGAATGTGTATGCATGCACGTCTGCACACATGTGCATTTAAAAAAATGAGATGTGAATCTTGGTTAAATAACACATTTATTGAGCTTCCCTATGACAAATATCTTCGTCGCATTTGAGATGCAGACTCAGTAGTAAATTCAGCCAAAGACAAGATTGACACAATTTCCAGAAGTAGCCTGAGTTTTTCCTCAGTTGTCTATACACCCCTCAAATGAATGCAAGCTTCGTTCACTTCAAAAGGAGCAGCTCATACACAAAAAGTTGGCAGCACAGAACATGACACACTCAATGCAAGATACATTTTTCTTTCAGTAGTTTTTGAATACAGAGGGACCACCTACCACTTAGGTGCTCTGACTCAAAAAGGGTTGAAAAATGCTTGAATAACTAGTGAGGTTACTGTCCCGTTTTCCACCATCTCGCCATTGTAGAGTTGGCTGAGCTCATGAAGTAGCTCCTGATCACCTTCTTGCTTCAACACACCAGATTATCAACCACTGTTTGGGACTACTCAACAAGCCAACAGCAGTAGGAGTTCACATTATGGCTGAACCAACTTCATAGCTCCTCTCTACCCCCCTCCCTCAGAAATTGCATGATCAGCCATGCAAAGCAGATGTAACTGTCATCAGCTGAAGGCAAAACAAACAGGCAGTTACATGGCCTCAGACATGACAGAACCTCACCCACCACCAGGTTCACAGAGTAGTCACCGTATCAGCTATGCTAATGCAAGCCATCCTTGATCACAGTCAAAGCCTGTGGCTTTCATATTGTCAATAAATTAAATAGAAATCTAGACTTTCATACTAGGTCATCTTCAGATATGCAAATGTCAACTAACAAGTAAACTGTTAGAATGGCTGAATTCACTAAAGTAACTTCTGAAATATACCTCCACATGTCAACTGGCGACAGGAAAAGAGCTTTCAATGGAAGCTCACTAGAAAAATAAATGAACAACAAAAAAGTAAAACAGGTAGAACCAGGAAAATAGCTTCCTTCAAATACCAAGAAAGCCTCCTGCATTCTTCTTTGCTAGAATCTTATCCAGGGTTCATTTTGTGTTGAAACAGCCAAGAAAGCTTTCCTAGAATTAATTTCTAACCAGCACTGGTTATTCCGAAAAATGAGTCCAGTTAAGTCTATGAATCCAAGAAACACTCTTCCTTCAGTCCTTAGCTTACCAAAACCAGAGTTGTCTGCAACACTGAAATTAATAATATGTGAGACAACAGTGACACAAAACATGCAAGACAGGGAAGCAGAAAGGGGCAGATATTTTAATTCCACACAGTTAACCACAGTAGAGATGAACATCAATGTACTTGCTGTTTGCTCTGCTACTGAACAGTCAAGGCCTCTGGTTTTGTTACTCACCAGATCGTCCAAGAGTGCCTGCTTATTCTTCCTTTTTATCATCTGTTGTAGTTGTTCTTCTTTCTGTATGAAGAGTCGCCTTTGTTCGTTTTCTTGTCGCTCTACCTCTAAAGCTTCCTCCAGCTCTTCCTGCTCACGCGTCTGAAATAGAAATTTGAAATCAACTGATAGCAATCTTCCTCCTTGGGAGGACAGAGCTTGCCCTCTACTCTACTTCCTACCAAAGGACTTAGGACAGAACAAGCAATAGGAAAGCAGCCAAATTCTACCTTTTAAGGTAGACTTTTAGGTATTAATAAGTTAGTATATTAGGTAGAATTAAGGTAATTACAGATGAAGATTCTACCTCCTCTTATTGTCCAGTGCAAAATTAGATTTTTTTTTTTTCCTTGCTGCTCTCTGCAGTAGGAAGTAACCATCTGGATCTTGGCTTTTTAAATGTTAGAGGATGACAGTGGGTTTTCCTTAAACCTTCATTCTAAAATGAGCTCTTCTTTGTTCCCACACATCCTACTTCAAGTGATGTAAGTGGGGTAACCAAAAATATAATCCCACAATACTGTTCCTGATCGTCTCCCCTATCAGCTGCATCTTCTGTGCAAAGTACACTGTGTGCTTATCAGTGGTGTAGAAGAAAAATAAGAAATTACAGATCTGTATTAATAGAGAAGCTTATAATCTAAAATATATTTCAGCATGAACTGTAAAAATGTCACATTTCCAGAAAATGAGAAGTTTTTTCTATAACCCAGACTGCAGTCAAGTGACACAAGATGAAAAGAAAGAGATTACTAGTATGAAGTGACTACATTTTGTTTCAGGAATTACTTCAAGAAATCTTTTTTAACCTGTCAACTATTAAGTAATCTGTATTTGAAAGTCACAGTGAAAGAATAAAAAGAAGAGGGCTCAGAGACAGAGGAAAACATAAGATTTCAACAATTTTATGCAGAAGGGGGAATCAAAAGAACGTAAACTGTAATAAGGTATAGGATAAAACATACAGGAAACATTTTCCAAATCTTCCTCACCAAAAATACTAAAGCAAAGGGAAATTCAGTAAAAACGCATTAAAATTTCATAAAACTTAAATAGATGATTCATCAGTGGAAGCAGCTTCAGCAAAACATCATTGCAACCAAGAGCTTAGTAAAATTTGTTCTTATCATAACATTTTACCATAAAGCATAGCTATCTGATACAGGCTAGGAGATGCTGAAAAACATCCCTTTACCAGGAAGGTCAAGCCAGTGGGTCCCAGTGAGGCCCAGCTACTCCTGGGTGCACGAGTTGGCAGATCTCATCACTTGCCACTGAGCCAGCGGAAGCTACTTTCATTTTGTAATCAGCAGTGACACTGGGGAAAAGTTGGTCACCAACCAGCGACCACCTGAAGCTGGATTCTCTTTGCATTTAATGAAAGGAAACAAACAAGAGAATCTCCAAGTTGCTAATTGACATTATTTCTGATAATTAAGGGATCTAGTTAGTTCAGTCAACAGAACTGAAAAGCTCAGGGTCTTTAAGACATTCCAAGCCTCTTCCACATTTATGTATAAAGACTACCTGGAATTTGCACTGAAACAGAAGAAAACTTGTAGGGAAGTGCTGACAGTCCTAGTTTAAAGAACCAGCCCAAAAACATTATAGTCAGAAATAAGTAAACTGAATCAGACTACAGGAAAAAGGAAGAATTGTCACAAGTCCGATCAAATTCTTTCTGAAAGGAAGACCAACCAAAACAGTAAAACAAAAGAGAAGTTCAATAGGCAGCAAGGGCTGTGTCAAGCCTAATGATAATCTAGACACAGCCCCAACATCTAAAGAAATAAAGATGATCATGGTGAAGCCTGAAATGAACTCAGGAAGACAAGTGGAAGAAGTAAATAGAAAAGTATAATGATGTTTTGCCACATTCGAGAAAGGATAATCAAGGAAACTTAAAGACATTCATATAATGGAGTTCAGGCAAAACTATTTCAAGACTGAACAAAGCAGCAAGTGAAATTCAGTATCTAGGGACAAAATAGGAAGTAACAAGTTACCCTATGACTGGTGAATAGCAGATATTTAAGGAAGAAGGCACATTTGGGAAAACTGTAGTCCACTCAAAGTGCAAGGCTTTCTAGATATATTAAATATATATATAAATATATATTTTTTTTAAAAAATCAATTTATAATTTCAAGAACACCTTCCCATCCAAACCTGGCTACTTGAAACTTTTTCTCTGAATGGTCCTGCGTCAAATCTACAGACCTAAAAGATGGGTTAGTACATGAGTAGCAAAGGTCATTAGGAACTGGCTACAAAGATGAAAAATATGGCTTGTACTGACAGAAGAATAACCAGTTATTAAAATTCTGAGGTAAATTCACAGGACTGGTTCAGTAAGTTAATATTTTTATTTGTAAGAAAGAATAACACACTTATGAGGACACAAGTAGAAGAAGTGAGATCAAAATAACTTACAATGCCATGGATTTGGATACATTAATTTATCAGTTAGAAACCGAAAAGGAGAAAACATGATGTACTACTTGACCACTACTGATTCTGAACCTCCTGTATGACACTGCTACAAGAGAACAGTCTTAGAATCACATCAACGTACTTCCAGTAGAGATGGGAAAACAGAGGTCTTTCATAAGAAGCTGTTAATATCTCAGCTACAATACTGCATTCAATTTTGGTCCCTTCTGCTTGCCAAACACAAATTCAAACTGAAACAGTCAAAGGATAAGAAAAACACCAAGAGGGACAGAAAATATCTATATTCCTCAGAAGCAAGCTATTACAGTAGACAGAAAAATTCGTGTGAGTCCAAGAATGAAGGGACAATGACTGGTCATGAGAAGTTTAGGTGAGATTTTAGGACACCTTTTACCATTTATGCACTAAAGACATTCCAAAACTTGCCAAAAAGAGCTAGAGAGAGAAAGCACCCTTTCAGCTTTTGGAGAGGGGTAAGTTTATAGGCAACATCATGCAGTTTTTGTAATAGCATCTGCGTCAAGTCTATTATTGTTTCAATTGTTGAAAAAGAAATGTTGAATGTTTCAAATGTTGAAATAAAAAAGAAATGTCTCCAGGTCTCCAATAAGTCTGGATTCAAGCAGGCTTGCCCAGCTTCCACTAGACAGCACAGCAAGACCATGCAGTACAGAAAACAGAAGGCCCAGGGGGCTGGGGTGGGTTCAGGGTATTACTGTGCTGCTTGATATGATCACACAGCTAGTGCACAGGCTGGCTGTGAGTCACGTACATGAACGGAAGGTGGGCTGCAGGCAAAGCACACTATTCTCATGGCGACCCTAGAGGTTGCACCTACGATGTAAAATAAGACATGTAGCCAAAGATTTGGCAGGTCTCTTCAAGCTCTGAAGCATAGGATATTGCACAGTGTCAGAGACAGGACAACAGATCAGAGATGGACCCCTAGGGAAATTTCCTTGCCTTTAAAAGGAAGAGGTTCAAACAAACATTTTTCAGATTCCAATCTCCTCCTGTGAAATCCTAGAGCTAAAGAAATCACTGGGAGTTTTGCCACAGACTTCAGGGGAGTGAGGATTTCACCCCTACTGATTTGAAAGCAAGTCCTTAGTGCAACTGGAATACAAACACAAAACCTTGCTATGTCACACTCTGGGCAGACATTTTCCTTCAAGAACCGATAACAATGTGTATTTTTAAACTGAAAAAATATTTAACAAATTAAACTTTTCTTACAGAAAAAAATGCTTGCAAGTTTATTTTTAAATACCCAAATGATATCTGAGCTGTATTTTAATGAATGAATCTTCAAAGAACCATGTGTTTTGCATACAGATCATGTATACAATAGTCCTGATGTTATTGTTATCAGCTCTTGAACAAAAGTCTTCGTGTTTGTTTCAACATCTTTCATTTTAAATTTTGCATAAACCAGACCTGTGCTTCCCCTCATTTTTACAGCTCTCTCCTGGGAGCTTCATAAAGTCTGTGTCTGAATTCATTTTTTCCTTCGGAAGAAAAAGGAATGATTGTCCTGGTACAGGAATGAACTTGGGTGTCTCCTGGATATTGTCCAATGACACTGCAAGCACACATGCAGTGATGATGTATTAGATGCAGACTTTACTGCCTGTCCCTCTTTTCAAGCCCTTCCCCAAATAAAGTGTAACTACATTCCAACTATCGATTTACTCTCTTTACACAGCACTAAATATCAGTATTGCAGAATATCAGCATATTATGATTTTTGAATACAAAGTGCAACCTACGTAGTGCCTTCAGTTTTGACTTGGTTTAAGACATTACAGAAAGTATTCTGCTTCAAAAATCCTTTAACTAATGAATAAAAATTGTAGAGGAGAGTAGAAGTTAACTAACCAGTTTTATCTTATTTTTCTGAATGACTTCTTTGTTATCTTTCTGGTACAGTTCCATTTTCCTTTTGGTGTTCTCCAAATCCACGTTGTTGGTCAAGTTAAATACTGCATAAATATTACAAAGACAAAAAGCAAAATTATTAGGTTGGCATGCATGACTATGACAAAGAAATACTACTCATGCTTTCTATCCCTTCTAGCACCAGATATAAACATCATAACAACAGAATTTATTTAAATATGCCCTGTAAAGCAAGACACAATCTGCTAAATCATTACAAACTTCAACAGAAGCCAGAGTTCCTTTACATTTATACATCTGTACAAGATAAAAATTTGAGTCTTGCATCCTATTTTGATACTGATGAATAATCATAGTATCATTTGTAAAACATTAACCTTTTCAAGTAGCAGTTACAGCTAAGAACACAGTCATTTCTGTAAAATTAAATTAGACTGAACACATACATATTAAGACAAGGTTAGAAATTAAGTTATTCCATTTCATAAGATTATCTAGTGCACAGACTATTTGAATTCTCAGGTACACAAAAAATTTTCACATTACCTGGTAACTTAAAAGGCACCAAGGTACAATTACCTTTATTATGAGAAATCTGCAGATACATCCAGATTAATAGGTTAAATGACATTCTTTTGATGTCTCTCAATACTGACAGAGTATATCTCACATAATTACGAACAAGCAAGGTTGGCCAGCAAGCTCCATAGTTTAGCACAACATTCCCAATTATCTACACATGGCACAGAAGATACCTCAAGAAACTGAACTGTTTCGATAATCAACAGCTTGAAAGATGTAGATGGTTTGGATGATTAGTAATTTGATACAATGGCCAAGTCTTTCACCTCTAGGTCACTGGTTCAATTGTGGGTCAAGTGAATTCCAACTGAAAGCCAATATCACTGGGAAGTCGCTTGGTGATCACCATCCAGAATGGATGCTGGGCTCATGCTCATGGCCTTAGAGCTATTGAAGCCTGCCAACGTGCAGCACTCAAACCTTCAAAGAGTTTTTCCATGTGGCTACAGTAAATTTACAAGAGCAGCAGAGAAAGTTGCACTGCCATTGATAAGTTGTTCACAAGAAAACACCGGCACAGCAACTGTGCTAAGTCAAACCCTAAGGAAGACAAGGAGGTTCTAGAGGAAATGCCAGCACAAAACTTGGAAGGTTTTGGTTCAGTTCTCTCTTCCTGGGTTCTCAGGTGATTGGGCCAAATAAACCCTGGGCACATGCACCACTGCCAAGTCATCTGTATAAGGCTGCTAGAGAGAAATGGAAGGAAGCATAAAGTCTGTTCTAATTCATCAGAAGAGCACACACCTCAGTTTGGTAAAGAGTATATCCCTTCTTTCATCCTCTCCACAGGTAACATGGCAGAAATGAGCTTTTACGAGGGTTCTAGGTAAACTAAATAATGAATAGCCTATACTGGCAAATCAGCTGAAAGCAGCAAAGGAAACAAGAAGAAACCAAAGCAGGGCGTAAATGAGGGCAGAGGGAAAAAACAGGGAAGGTCCAAAATGCTATAGTTGTGGAATACAGCTTAGTTCTATGAACCCAGCTACACAGCAGCTCACTACTGCCAAAAAGGGGCAGTCCTGCTCTTAAGTCCCACTTACCCAGGCATAGGTCTCGCCCCTTTCCCTGACCTGACTCCAGGACTCCGTGGATGCTTTGCAGCATCAACAGAAACCCTCCAGTAACCTGAACTGGCTCAACAAAGGGGTCAGGCAAGTGCCAGAGACAGTGCAAGGGAAGTAAGAAAAGTGTACAGATGGGAATAGGAATACTCTCTTTCCACTGAACCACCATATCATCTTATCCTTAGCAGAAGTATTCAGCCCTTCCTTGAACGGCAGCAAAAAGGGCTAGGCCAGATATAGTTGAAGAAATTCCCAACCTTAAACAAACAAAATGTTGTATTTAATTTTTTTCTCCTCTTTTCCAAACAATGAGAAATCTCAAGACGACTGACTTTTAATTCAGCCTGGCTCCTAAATCAGCTGAACTCTTCCATCCTGACCCTATTATCCTCATTTCAGAAGTGATCCAAGATGCAGGCTGGTTTTGTGGTTTAAGCATTTGGTCGGGAATCCAAACCTGGGTTCAATTTCCAACTTTGCTACTGTTCCTGGGCAGATCGCTGGGACGCTGCACTGGAAGTCTCCCACCTGTAAGAACCAGGGACAGGGAAATAAATCTTCCTTTCTCCTATACACAGTCTGCTGTGTCTCCTTTATTATAGCTACATGCAAGACCGATTTCCATAGTCTTTATCTCAGGTGGAACTTCTGGGCACTGATATAACCCAAACAAGCCCTTCAAAGTTCAGCTCTTGGTTTTCAGAAGCACGTTACTCATTTCAAATGTATTTTCTTATTTTCTCTCCAAAAAGCATAACATCATCTTCCAATTTTATATTGCAACAAACATACACTTTCTGGTCGTAGCAGCATTTCCTTAATAAAACACTTTAGTCTATATTTTTAGCATTTCAATGGAGATATGACCTCCAACTTCCCAGCCTACAGTTCCCTGCTGACAAGCAGCTTAATATTTGAATATTACGGCAGAGAATTGTCATGTGAAAATGCTGGCATACAATCAGACCATGGCTCTGCAGTGACAGCAGCTGCACAGGAGTGTCAGCACTTCCTACAACTTAAATCCACACACCAGCTCTCTAAGCTCTTCAATGACAACACAAGAAAGAAATTGCATATGAGACACGTTGTGCTAGCAGGCTGCCCAGATGTCACCTTCACGTGCAAGCGGAGGAGCAAGATGAGAAGCCAAATGTCTTTGGGCACCTGAACTTCTTGAGTATTTCTCTAAAAAACATCCAGCAATAAGATGATAATCTAGGTTTTGCAACTATTGCTGCTTGAAATGTTCAGGGGTTTTTTTAATCCTTTTTCAGCTACCTTTAAGAGGTTCAACTAGTCACAATCTAGGTTTGTAAAACAAAAACTGTACTATTTAAAACTCATACTGGGGAAGGTAGGCAAATTTTAGACACGTGCAGATGCCTGCCTTTATTTAGAACTCCTTACAAAAGCGCGTTTATTTTGCTACTTGATATGAAGTAACATTTCCATGTTAGAGATATGTTTATGCGTCGATGTTTAAGAAATCTTCAGTATCCACCTGCATAGCCACCTTAAATGTCCACTGCTCTGCTTGCAGCAAGGTGAAAGGTGGTTTATTTCCTCTTCCGTTTTCCTGCTGTGGCTGGAAGCAAATCACAAATAAAACCCTCTCAATGGTCAGATCTGCCCACACAATGATGGTTCTCCTCTGTTAGTCTTGTTCTGCCCTGTCGCTTGAGGATATGGTAGAACATCAGTAATCAGAAAGATTCATACTTCCAGCACCCTCAAAGACCAGAGCAGATTTCTCCCACTGAGTATCAATTCACAGTCACTGAAGAGAAACATTATCTTGGTCCTAAGCACCTGTGCCTCAACACTAAGTTTTAAACACATCAAGACTCAAAATATTGAAGAGCTAAATTTTGTTGCAACAGTGTTAAGAACTGAATGTCTCTATATTGACATCAGTGACCATAGTTATTCTTTAATAAATGAAGAGTATCTTCTCTCCTACAATAAACACCCTAATAGCAAAACAAACTATGTTCTTTGACACTGCATGGTTATCAGTGGCCAATCAGCCAGCCACAACATCTTCCAACATATTTTTCTAATATATTTTTCATAGGCTTCAAACATCTTTTCATCAATATTCAGAGAATACAAATTCTTGCCATTGTATCCTCGCAATTACAGCTGACAAGTCCATTTTGTAGAGGGGCACTAGGCCACAAAAATAATTAAGATATTATTTCTTTCTCTTCTCTCACCACCCCACAAGTTACCTGGCATTTAAAAACAAACAAGTAACAAATCAAAGAATGCAGTCACTACTACTCAACATCTTACCTTTTACATAGCTAGGACTATGCAGCTTTGTGGGGGCTTTTTTGTTCTGTGTTTGGTTTTGCCAGGAATTTATTTTAAATATAATTCTTCCAAATGTTCCCTTTTTTTTTAAAAAAAAAAAGACAACAAAAGTTATAAAACTAGAAGAAGCAGAAAGAGTTAAAAAACCCTAACTCATATGCTGCACCTACCCTGAAAAAATATTGGTATAGATTTGAGTATGACTGGCAAAGCAGATGGCTAGTTTGAAAAGGTTTCAAAGAAAAGCCAGACTTATTTTTGTCCATGTTGAAATATAGCATAAGCCGATATAAGAGGCCTGAAACCCTTCAGGGAAAAGAAACAGAAGCTGTTTTGTATGCAACAATTATTTATCTACTTATCCATCTCACATTGGTTGGTTTATAAAATGACTTGCCTTGAGACATCTGTTGAAGTATAACAGGAAGACTATTGTGTTTTTCTGAAACATTTCATTCTATTTAGGTAAAACTCCCTACTTCTGAAATTCGGCCTCTACAGGGAGACTTTCGCTGCTTTTCAGAACAACAACATTCATTATGCAATTCTACAATAAATGGAAAAATATTTTTCTCGTTATAAAAGAAAATTAAGCAAAAGTTTTAATTATATGGCACAGTAATTTGTCCAGAGATGCAGCATTATGAATGAATTTCACTTCAGTGCAGGACTTCAAGTCCACCAAAATCTCCCTATTTTAGTCTGAGACATTGCAAATTTTCTGCGACGATGTCTTTCTTTATGTTACCCCAAAAAAATATTGCTATTCAAATAGTAGAAACATTCCCTCTCTGGCAAGATAGCAGCTGGTTACTCTTCTGACAGTGTTCGATCTGCATTGCTGGTATGAGCCAGCTGAAAATTTAAAAATTAGTAGTTTGGTATAAACAATATTCCTCCCACCCAACTACAAACAATTCTTTAATTATCATTTTCATAAATCATCAGCTAGAGATCAGAAATGGCAGAAGAGCAACTGCTTTGGGCAGAGCTCTGCAAAGGGAGCCACAACATCCTCAGTCTCCCCAGGGCGTCCAGGGCTACTGTGGCACCTTCTGTTGGTGCTTTTGATGCCTGGGTGCTTCACTTTTAAGACAAGTAGGAGAGAGGTGAGGGGGAGGAAAGATGAAATGGATTTTAACAGGTCTCTTCCAACCAACATTTCTGTGATTAAAACAAAATAATCATCAGAAACAAAAGAAAACCCACAGCTAAGCCAGAAAAATCTAGTCAGGTATTAATAATTATTTCTGTTTATCCTCAGTTGTCTTTTATTGGGTCGATAATTTTCCAGAAAAATACCTTAGCATAGTAGCAAATGACTGAAAGCACTCAGCCCCCATCAGTCTAAAAGACCACTTTGGCTGGAACAGTGCAGTACTGAAATCTTTGTTCAGATGAGATGAATGAAATGGATCTTTGATGAAGCTGCCCCATTTCCAGCTGGGTTATTCCCATTGTCAGGACCAGCAATACAATCCTCATGTACACACACCGGGGTGGGGGTGGGAGGGAAACACCCGCTGAACAATAAACAACACAACCCACAAGTGATCACAGATAACAAAATCCTTTCTATCCAAGGATCACTTGAGATAAACATTCTGAGCAAGACACTAGGCAGCTGGTATTGCATAAAGTGCTAGAGGAGTAATGAGATACAGGAATCCAAAGGGCACAAATACAGTAGCCTCCTTCCAAGTTGAATGTACTGAATGTTTTTAAAAAGCAATAATTACTATTAGCAATTGTGTTGCGGTAATGCCTTGAGGCCCCATTCAGGTATCAGGAGAATGGTGCCAGGCAGTGCGTATACATGTGCTAGGAGGCAGGCCCTGCTCTGGAGAGCTCACACACCTGGTTTTGAAAAACTGGCTACGGAGATTCTCTGGGGAAGAAGAAAACTTTGTAGAAAGAGCAAGCAAAATTTATGGGATATCCAAAGATTGTAACTTGTACCAACACTCCAAGGTCTAACTTTGCCCAGTTCATCATATGGCCATAGACCTGACTTATTCTGATAGATGTTGTCCATACCTTTCCCAAAGGCAGGTTTTAACCCTTTCACTTAATTTTTCTTCCTAGTGTTAATGACAACAAACTGTGTTTACAATGTTCTCAAATTATCCAACTGACTTTCTTCTGGGGAAAACCTGCCTTAAAATGTGGTTTCTATTTAAAGCCTTGTATAACACATTTTAGCCCAAAGCATTATTTAGTGGCTACATTCTAAACCACTTCAAAAACGTGTTTTTTATAATAGAAATCTTAAGAGGTGACTACCCTAATGTTTGTTTGACCTTCCCCTCTCACACTTTTGCTATACCACCCAACCCTTTTCTTTAAATAGAAAAGGTCTGTAGGTATAACATGCCTGATATGAAGGGGAGAAAATGTGTTTCAAGTGAGGTCATATATCACATCAGTGGAATAAGACAGTGCAATTGCTGCATGTTGGAGCTGACCTACCTGAAACATTTGGAAAAACATTCAGAATTGCGCCAGGGTCACATGAAGTATATTTATACAGGATGCTTACATTTTGTCTCTGCCAAGCAACTGCTTCATTTAATCCCCCACAACAACTTAGAAAACAAAACTTAGCAGCAAAAAGAAAACAGAGTAAAGCTGCACTTTGACCCTCCCGTAGGAAAATTTAAAGTTTGGGGCAGAGGGGAGAAAGGGGAAATCCAGTTCTCCAGCTCCCTAGCTTCCTAACCTGGCAGCTTGAACGATCACCACCAGCTACTACCAACCTGCTGTACGTTAGCTCCACAAGGCAAAATTTTGTGCTGCAGGACTACACCCTTTCTTTCCCGTTTTTCACACGCACAAATAAGCAGGGAATTTACATACATAAAAAATGAAATAAATACTCTCAGCAGTAAAATGTGAAGTAACCATACAGAGTCGAAGACACCTTTAACATATAGTTCAGCCGTGCCACACTCAACATGCACAGCAAAAACATTGGATGAAGTCGCACTACTGCTACGTATCAGACAACTGTCAGGTGGAGAACACTGCCCAGGAACACAGGCAGGGACGGGCTTAGGGAGAGCAAGATGTGTGCCATGAGCTTTGTCCCCAGGGAAAGGAGAACAGGGCTTGAATTCTTACCCATTCTTGAATCTAACCCGTCCTCCAGATTCTGGATCTGCCTGAAGTTAGTATATCGTAAGTGACCCCTCTGACAGTGAAAATTAAGAGCCCTCTGACTGCACCCCTTCTTTCATCTCATCACCCTGGCTGCTACACAAAGAAACTAGGAGGTAGTCAGACTTTCTATTCCTTTTAGTATTTTAGGTGTCCCTTTCAGGCAACTAACTCCAATTCGTGACAACTCTATCGAGCTTCTTCATTATGCATTTGCAGAGCCAGCACAATTATTGACAAATTCACTCTTCTGCACAAGGTTACGAAGACCAGCCTTGATTTCTGCTGCTTCTAAACCAAATTACCAGCACAGGCTCTGGAACCATTTGAAATTTAACAACCTAATCCCAAGAGCTGGAGAATCCTAACATTCTGCACAAATTGATGAGGTTAAGGCAATTTCAGGCAAAGCTTCAACTCCCTTGCTGCAGATACTGAAAAGCCCTGCAACAGCATTAACTGGGAAACCTGTATGTAATGCCACATAAATAAAAAGCAGTTTTCCTTTCCATGAGCACACAGATTTCTTCCAGGATCCTCTGGCTAAGGTGCAACCATTATTTCTACTCATTCCCTCCTTCCCCCGCCCCATCCAAAAAAATACACAAACAGAACTACACCCACAATGTCTCCTCCAGACATTTGGACCCGTATGAGTTTGCCTGGTATTTCCCAGACACACAATTTACCTCTCCATCCTCCGCCTTCTGATGCCAACAATAACATGATACATTACTCAGAGCAGTAAGTGTATTGGATACACTTCTATAAAACACCACTGTGCAAAGAGGAGCAAGGGCTCCTTTGAGAAACCAAAGGGGAGTGGCATCTCCATCTTTTCCTTCAAATCACATTCACTGACCCTCCTGCATGTTCTACGCCACCTCTTCCTTCCTCCAGGATAAAAAAAAGAAAAGCCTCAGAAGCTCATAAAACACAAGAAACAAACCATTTAGGAGTCACTCCTTTGAACACATCCTTGTTTTTCTAAGCAAAATTCATCACTCCACCATAAATCACAAGTCACCCTAACGAAGAAGAAAATAATCTCTGTTGATAACATAGTCCCTTCCCTAGAGGGCAAAGTTCTGCTTCAACTAATCCAAAGAGAAAGAAATCAATGTCTGTTCCTAAACCTTCTCCCTCTGCACAGCAACTTAAAATGCTACCACAGTGGTATATGAGGTCATCAGCTTCAAAGCAGCTTCAACTACTGTACTTGCAGAAGCAAAAATGATGAAAGACACCATATGGCTTCTGTCATGGTAGATAAAGCTAATGGAGGCATATAATGAAAATTTCAATTTCTCCTCTCTTTGTTTAATCTTTCCCAGTGCAGCACTGGCAGTCCCCTGCAAGCCTTTCTTTTCCAGCTATAAAGCACTGCTCCCACTTTGAATCATGTTTTGTCTCTGGCAGATAAAAAGTTTTACTTAACTATGTCCTTCAGTTCAGCAAATATGATTAAAAATGTACAGAAAAAAAGTAATTAGATAAACATCTGATACTATGATAAATCCTATTACAGAAACTCAACTTAAGACATTCTTATAGGCAGCTGAGTCACAAGATAAAAGCCTATGGTCTCATGAGCACAGCACATCAAAAATGCAAGCATTAAGACTCACCAATTTCTTCTATTTCTTCCAGGAAATCATTATATTCACTTAGACTGGGAAAGTCATCCTCTCTTTTATTGTATCTTTGAGAGAAAAGAAACAAGTATTTATGTAACACACAAAGATGCAATTTCAATTCAGCAAGGTTCTTGATGCAAGTGTATTAATTATTGACCTAGTTTTATCAACTACGTGCTTTGTGGCTCCCACAACTGACTGACATACAGAATCTTTAAAAGGAGACAGAAGTGCTTGTTTCGAAGGAAAGGAGCTTGCCTGGCATAAATTGCTGCTATCTTTGCCTACTGTTTGCCCATTCCTCTTCCAGGGTTACAGGTAAACAGGAGCACAGAGGTTAGAATATACTAATTCCAAGCCAGCCCTTCAGCATGAAAAACCTGTTAACAAAGGCACAGACAACAATAACAGCCACAAGAAAAGCTTTTCTAAAAGTATCAGAAAAGGGAGTTTCTCAGGCCAAATTCCAATCTGGGGCCATTTCTTCTGCCTACTAAAAACTAATCTGTCAAATCCAAGTGGGCCAAGCATTTTACAATGTTTTCTAACTACACTTCATTCTGTATTTAGTCAACTAAGTTGACTTTATTCCAGTTTGACTTTTGTTAACTTCAGTAGACTTCATAGTCAAACATCAAAATTATTACTACTTTCCACATAAACATCTTGGTACTCAAAGACACAATTTCCCTACCTCTCAGCAACATCATACAATTTATTTAGTATTGTACTAAGTCTTAAATAAGGCTGCCAAGCTCATAATGTATCTGTATGTTCATTTTTGCACATACAACCCTCTCCAGGTTTGTTACGTTCCATCAGACCCTCTTCTACCAAAACACTAACTGGCTTGCTTATTTTCCTTATAAAAATGTTGGGGTTTGTCCACAAGGACTTTGATGCAATTTTAGACCTCACTTATCTCAACTCCAGGAGCTCTCAAATCTACATGACCAGTAACACAAGGCTTGTAAGGAAGCATTTTCACTAAGAATCATTGTGCGAAGTAGAAAACAGTGTGAACATGGCTTCTCTTTTGTCCATTTTCATTTTGAAGGGAAGTGGCCTTCAACTCTCAGAACAGGTCCCCAAGGAACAAAACAATCAAGGTCCTGTTTCTTGCCCCACTCCCATGTTCACCCCCTCAAAGGGAAAGCAGCTGTAGTCCTCAATATCTAATAACCTCCATTTAGGAGGCAAGTCTTTGCCAAAGGAGGCCACATGGAAACACCCAACATTTTCTAATGCTAAGTAGGAATCCCTCAAGGCTAAATTGAAAATTCAACCCTCAGTTGTTGCATAAAATCAGATTCTCTGAAATCCTTCCACGTTAAAAGGAGGCAAGTTTTATGGGTTGTCACTTTAAAAAAAAAAAAAAAACAAAAACAAAAAAACCCACAAACATTATCTCCTCTCTACTACTGGAGGAGTAATTCAATTTTTTTATGTGATCCATGAAATACGACCACCTTCTGTTCTTTTAACTAGTGACACTCACATTTTCAGCACTTTCTTCCGAATTTCCACTTCCTTGTCGACAGCAGGATCCTCAAAGAGCTGTACCCTGAAGTTACTCTTCCGCAGAGGGGTATCGCACTCCTGGCAGTTCCCAGCCCCTCTCACAAACAGCAGTTCCACACAGCTCTCGCATCTTCAGGAGAAAGGAAGGCGTATAAAGGCAGATACGTGTTAAACAGTAACTGAAACACAGGATTGTCCCCCTTTCTTGTTGTTTACGCACACACTAAGTACGCAATACATCTCCCCCTGATTTCACTCAATAGTAGCACCCAATAGTGGCAGGACAGCAAGGGCTCTCCACCCTGGCTGAAAGGAAACAATCTCAGCAGCACAAATGTATTTATTCTCCTTGCCCAAACAACTTGGCCTCTTTGCTGAGACCTAAAGTTAATCCAAACACAACGATGGGGTTTGTGTCAAGGGGAAGCTTGTTTATTGACACCATCAAACTCATTTTGCATGGACCAGACTGCAATACCCTTATTTACTCTGAGCACTACCTTGCTGTACAAAAAGCCCCATCTATTTTCTTGATGCCATTCACAGTGCAAGGTACTATACAGCACAAGCAGGGATACAAATCTTACCCACAGCCTTCCAAGCATCTACCAGTACTACAATGGAGCAACAGCTGTAACCAACTTGAGCTAAACGCCAGCCCAACACTGCTAAAAGAATCAAAATGCCATTTTAACCAGAAACCTGCATTATGCGCTCTCCTGTGCCTTCTGTTCATACTTTTAAAATTGAACATAAAATATACTTTATACAGAGGCCACACAGAAATAAACCAAAAATACTTTTCTGGTTTTATTTCTTTTGTCTTCATTAAGATTTCAGATTTTAACAATATACTTGCTGACCAGTCAGTTGGTATTTAATAAAGGAAGAACAGACAACAAACCCAATTTTTTTAAAAGTGCTTGTGTATTAATAATGTGCAAATTTCTAGCAGAGGACAACACCTGCTGCAGTCATTTCCTACTGCTGGGGTGGCAAGGGGGTGTCTATTTATAACTTTGCTATACTGCAGCCAGAATAGTTGTGTATTAAGGGCTAAGCTGTATTGTACCTTCACAAGCCCAGCACAAAAGCTAAACAAGTTAAGAGAAACAATACTGACGGGATTGCGAAGGATCTTAAACAAAACTTTCACTCCACTGACCTACCACCAACTAAACTGGTTCCAATACTTGGAGGCAGAACTAGCTAGAGCCAACCAGTTCTACCCAGCTTCTGTTTCCAAGATTAGAAAGTGCAAAACAAACTCAATTGTATCTTACAATTGGAAGGAAAAAAAAAAAAAAAAAAAAAGAGTGCAATTTTTTTGTTAACACAAGTAGAACTACAGTTTCAAAATACATCTTGCACAGCAGCTGCCAATGTTAAAGAGCAAACCTTGAATTTACTTGGACATTTTCCTGCTCCAGAATTCCTTTAGTTAGAAAACTAAGCACATTTAAATACAGTTTACCTGAGAATGAAAAGATCAAAAACTTTAGCACACTAGGCCTGAAATTCAGAAGTTACTGGGACATCAATTCAAGAAGCACACTTCTTTATGAAAATAATTTAGCTCACCACTATGGCAGAAGCAACACTAAAAGCAAGAGAGAAGGCAAGGCAGGGAATGGGTTTTCTCCTTCCTCCCCTAACTTGTCTGTGCATGCAACAGCCCAGTACATAAGGACAGTTTCACTGTCTCCTTCATTTTGGCAGCTCATGCTGTTTATGTGTGTCTCAACACAGAAGCCAAATCACAGCTAAAAAAAAAAAAAAAAAAAACAAAAAAACAAAAAAAAACCAAAACAAAAAAAAAAAACCTGCCTTCTCTTTCCTATTTTTAAGTTATAGAAAAGGGAGTGTAAAGCTACAGAACTTGGCAGGTGGATCCAGGTGTTTGTATTGCTTTTTTAATCATGGTATTGCCTAAGGACCAACAGAACAGGGTCTCCATGTGCAAAATATTATGCACAGACATTAGCACCTGAAACTACTTTACTTCACTTTCCCCCCTCCCCTCCCTGCCCTTCCCTAAATCGAAGACATTTCAAGTTTACACAGGACTTGACTATGGAAAAAATCCCTCCTTGGAAAAGCACTTTGAACAAGTGCTTCAATGTCTTCCCAATCTGGAACCAGTGTTTCTAAGGCTGGAAAATAACTTTCCATACAAAAAAAGATGAGTCAACACCTCAGTATGGGAATCCCACATCAGATGATCATATTCTCACTCACTCATGCACATTCACTCTTATATTTATTCATAGATAATTCCTTCTGAATTCAACAGGGGTTATATGGGACAAGCCAAAGGCAGACCGGGACTCTCTCCAAATCCAGCCTCCTCTCCATCTCCAGATAGATTTAGTATACACAGTTAGATCCCAACCTTACTTCCTAGCAGGTCTGTCATTCTTGCTCCCACAAACTGCAGCCACTTTTCCAGTGATGGCAAGCACGTTTGGTCACATGTTTCCATCTGATTCTTGCGGAAGGAAAAAAGCTATCTCCCAAATCCCTCTCAAATGCCTTCCTTTTGATTTTGCTGCAGACTGCTAAACTCAGAGTATATGTAAACACCAGGAAGGCAGATTTCAATAAAGATGGATTTAATAAATTATTTCATGTCTTGAAATAAAAATTTTAAAGCATGAGTTGAAAAAAATGTTATCTTGCCCTGTAAAATTTTAAAATAGAGCATGACTTTTTTTTTTTTTTTTAATAAAAGAGATGCAGCAATTTGTGTGACTTCACCAAAAGTAGCCAACCCATGCAACAGCCAGACATCCCAGGCAGCATGAGGCAACACCCCAACACCACAGCTGACATTACAGAGCTCTTTCCTGGCACATAGACCACATCAATTCAGGTGATCCTTCCATTTCTTTGCAAGTCCAACTCTTCTCCATTTGCCGTTGTATAAGGACAGTCTGACCATAGAAGCAAGGCATCATTCAGTGCATCTTTTATTGGCTGACACATCATACATGGCTTTCCCCCAATGAGTAAAGCACCAAAACACCTGCTTAACTTCCCTTCAAATCATGGCCAAAACAGGTGCCATGTGTTTTCTTAAATTAGAAACCTTCAATCAGTGATTTTTAATATGCATATATGTTATGCATTCATACATACTACATATATAAAGTAAAAATGACAAATGTTCATGCTTAAAAGCCAGGTCTATACAGTTGTTCAAAACTGAGTATGTCTGAAGACAACAGCTTTCCATGAGGTCTAAACAAACACTTGGTGATACTGCCGATTCTCCTCTTCACATTGAGGTTGTATGACCTCTGTGATGGGTATTCTATTTCACACACGCACTAAAATCTTTCATTACCTTTTGGATTCAAGTTTGTATCCTGAGAATAGGTAATCTGGGTGAAGATATCAATAGAAAATGGACATGGAGTTACACGTGCATGGATGACAGGAGAACTATTCATAATGTCACTAACAAAACCACTCACAACACCTCCAGCAACAATAAAGCCTCCTGGTCTTCCACACCAGGATAAGAAACATCAGTATGCTCATCTTCATTTCCATGGACACTGGTTTGATCTGCCTTGTTGTTCTCTTTCATCTACATGAAATATTAAACAAACAGCTCAGTCTCTAAGCAGTCTAGAATAATGCCACATTATTGAGGAAAGCAAATAATAAAGCATCTAGATGGCTTGGCACCATCAGTGCACAAATAGCACTACATGCCCTCATGTCAGTGTTCAAGGACTTCAGGATTGTGCTAACAATGCTTTTGGTACATTGCAGAAAACAAGCAGAAGTTCCTCTCCAGAAAACTGTTAGATATTTATCAACTAAATTACATTTACTAGAACTGAGTGTTTGTTTTGGACAGTGTCTTCAAAGGGTACAAGATTTGTGCCCAAGCCTGCGTTCCCCACACATGCACACATACCCTTCATGGAGGGATGATGGCAGATAAGGAACCAAGCCTCTTGGACACTAAATGGATGAAAATGGCTCACAAGATTAGCATTGCTTGATGGTGCTGCTTACTTTTCTAGCTTGGCTAGCAAAAGAGCAAACAGAACAGAATAAAGCAAGAGCTATTTTCACAAGCAGGAGTCCAAGATATTCTTTCTTTCAAAATTTCAGATTCTGCTGACTATAGCAAAAGTTTGCAGGACTTCTGATATGCAGCCATTAATCATTTCAGGGAAAAAAAAAAAAATCTTTATGGCTTTTTCTGTTGACTAGGAATATTACAGAATGAGTTACTACCCTTCTTTACAAAGGCTATTTTTAGTAGATATACTTATTAAATAGTATCAAATATTTAGAATCTCTAAGTCCCTCTTCAGCTTTTATAACCAAGTAACACGGAGAACAAATGATCCTCTACTATAGAAAAAAAAAAGTTTAGATTAAAAAAATAGTAATACAGCCTTCAACGTACAGCCAAGACCTGAACTACAAATAAATGGAATAGAAAGAATCATCCAAAAAAGTTGTGTTTTCACTTGTTCCTCAATTCTGATGTCAGAGGGAAATTTACTTAGAGAAATTGAATGACTCCTGATTTATAGCAAGGGAACATAAAAAAAAAAAAAAAAAAAAAAAAGAAAACACACAAGTGTGAAAAAGTTTACAGAAGGACATCTAGATTTTTAAATCAAAGATGCTTCTAGAAACATGCACGGGCTTTTTGCTTAGCTTGGGTTAGACAATTTTCTGTTCTTGTACAGAGTTTCTTGAACTGAGACAAGAACAGCCCAATTCGGAGTGAGCAGCTGTCAAACCTGGTTTATTTTACAACTTTCAGTACATCTAGCAAGTCCTCATAACCAACAGTGGTTTCTGCTACATAGCCAAGAGTTCATCTACTATTTGCAGTTGATCACTGCAGGTTTATTTTCTAGGCTGATGGACTAATAGCCATAGCCTACAAGGCAGGTTCCTCCCAGAATCTGCAGCAATGATGATCTCTGTGATCCAAAAAGCTAAGGGAACTGAGCAAAAGCAGGTTTTTTTAGGGACCAAAAATTGAGGAAAGAGAAAGAAGCATGACTGCAGTGACACCAAATGCTTCTGAGAGCCTCGGAATAAATGAGCTTACGCAATCAGTATCTCCCAGATGAGTAGGGACTTGGGAACAAA